GGTAACCTCAAAGTCCTTGGCTCAAACAATCCTCCTGCCTCAGCCCTCCAAGTAGGTGACAAATGTGTATTTTTAACTGAGTCTATAACATTCTAACCAGAGGAACAAACAGTAACTAGAGCACTGGTTAGCCGAGCCTCCCTCCATAATCTTGCTTCTTGATTTGTATGTCAGAAATGCAAATTCATTCTCCAAAACAGAAAGTTCTTTTCTTGTTAATTTTAGAAGCAAGGAACTTTTTTCCCTTTATTTTCTGTTTAGATAAATAAAATAATATAAACAACAAACATCTAATTTTTCATTATTTCACTTAACGGCATTCTTGATATAATTCTTTACGAAGTAGTTTGGTAAGATAATATGTACACTAGCTCTTGTCACCTACCCACTTGACTTTGGTTTTTAAACTAGAGAAGAAAACTTTTAAAAGACCTAGTGTTTTGTCCCTAATTCTTTTCTTAACTTTTCCTCATTGGCCAAGGCTGATACCCCAACTGCTTAGGACCCCCCCCCCGCCCCCCTGCTGTGCAGATGGTGCAGTGTCCAGCAGGGCTTGTTCACAGAATGTAACAGATGTAGATGTGCACGTAACCTTGTAGATGTGCACGGCCCAATCTGCCTTGCATGAGGTGCTGCCACCTGGTCTTTGGATTCCCTCCTAGAGGTCCTTGTTCTATGCTCTCTGGGCTTGCAACACCAGCTTCTTCCTCCCTCCTGGCTTTGCTCATTAAGCATATGAACCTACCTACATGCAGTTCATTAAAATATTATAATACTCCAAGTGAAACAAAATAAACATTAAAAAAGTGCAATTCTGACTTTCAGGCAACACAGAGGCACTTTCTGCACCACGTCACCAGTTCTGATGCAACTTCCTGTCTTGCAGTCACATTTGACCTTTGAACTCGCCATTGCTTTCTTTTCCCACTTACGGGAAGCTGTCTAGGGGCTCTGAGAAAGGTTCAGTGTTCCACATACAGTCCTAGGCTTTCCTACAATACAGCCTCTAACAAAACTAGGCTGTCCCCAACCCCTGGTAATAGAATTGTTTACCATTACACCCAAGAAGGTTGGGAAGGCACCAAAATCTGCATGTGGCGTGTGCCCAGGCAGACTTTGAGGGGTTCATGCTGCGAGACCTCAAGTTATGAGGTTATCTAAAATAAAAAAACATGTCAGCAGAGCCTTTGGGGGATCTATGCATGCTAAGGGTGTCCGTGACAAGGTCAAGCATGCTTTCCTTATCGAGAAACAGAAAATGTAAAAGTGTCAAAGTCAGCAAGCTAAAATAGAAAACGAAGCTTTCTTAAGTAAATAAAAATCGAAAGACTTAAAAAAAGATAATTCCAGTCCTTTCTGGACTATATCCTCCTGTAAGCAATAGCCTAGTCCCTCACACTCCTTTAAGGGATGAAGACTAACCCCGTCTCCTCATTTTCAGTAACCAACAATAATGACTTCACAGAGGCTCAGACTTTGCACTGAATTACCCCAGCAGCCTCCATGCTGGGCTCCCAGTCCCTCTTAGTCTTCCCTTTAATTTTTCTCTCCACATTGGTGTCTGTTTATACAAGTCTGTTTATATCATTTTCCTACACAGCTTCTGTGACTGTTTAGATATATTTTATCTATCTATCTATCTATCTATGTAATATATATCATATATATATAATTTTCTTTCTCTTATTTCTGCAATTACTCCCCATTCCTTTCAAGAGAAAATCAGAACTCCTGAATCTGGGATATAGTTTTTCCTGACCTGACCTCTTTGGTCTCCTATCCCACCTTCACCCTTCCCTACATTTTACATTCTAAAACCCAGGTGTTCTGAACCGGCCCCTGCACATGCAGTTCTCCACATCATCCTCAATGCCCTGAATGTCCTTGCACGTATTTTTCCTTCCAAGTGCACCCTTATCTCTATTTCTCTGCCCAATAAACTTCTACTTATCCTACTGACCTTGGAAACCTGCTCTACCCCTCACCTCCTCTTAGTCCTGTGCCCTTCCTCCCTCCTTGTCATCCTGTGAATTGTATTTTACGTTTCTCAAGGGAAGCATCTGAATCTTATTTAAGATTTTATCACCAGCCCATTTCACAGTTCTGGTACATAATAAACGCCTAGTCAGTATGTCTTTTAAGATTATTACTACATTTTTATTCACTTTTCTTCTGTTTCCCTAAGAGCAGGACTCTCCAGTAAACACCACTTAACTAGATCTCAATACAGATTAATGTCTGTTGAAGGAACCAACACTATAACTGCCTCCAAACTTCCCCTCCTCCATCTCAGCTGCACACTGATTTTCCGAATATACCAATTCCCCATCATACCCAGCACCCTCCCCTAGGGAGCGCAAACTTTCACTGGCCTCCCGTCACCTACAGGATGAAACCAAGCTTCTCCTCCTGCAGTCCTTTTGCATTTGCTATGGCCTCTGCCTGGAATGCTCCTCCCTTGATCTTCCCAGACTCCTCCTCCTCCTCCTGCGTCAGATTGGGCCTTACCTGACGACCCAAACTAAAATGGTCTTCCCAGTCAGTCCGTTCCATTAACCTGTGACAGTTTCTTAATGCCCCTCATTTATCAGAGCTGAAATCCTCTTCCTCACAGGCCTTTTCTATTGTGTCTTGTTATTGCTTTCCCCATTAGATGCAAGGCTCGTCAACAGCGGCCTGACTGGCTCTGTTCACTGCTGCATCTCCCGTCTTACAGTAGTTCCTGGAAGGAGACAAACTGCCTGGTTTGTTCAAAGAATGAAAGATGGAATGCAAAAATGCTGAAGCCAGGCCTTCAAGATCCTCGATGACCTGGCTCCCTCCACCTTTCCCAGCCTTACCTCCAACTGACTCCAGTTCACTCTTTCCAAAATTCCCCTTATGCCTCCTAACTGGACTTATCAACGTTACCCTTGTCATCTTTCCCATCTAAATTATCTTCATCTTTTTAATCCAGCCCAAATTCCATGTCTTCTATAAGGCAGTCCAAAATGGCAAGCTCCTTAACTACATTATTTCTCTACTTAATGACTTAAATTAGTTTGTGAGAGTTGGCTCTGGACAACTCTGATCTCCACTTTAAACAGCAGATACTATTTTCTATTGAACATACTGTGGAAAGGTATCCAGAGAATAACTGTTTAAATAACTCTTTAAGGCTGGGTGGAGTGGCTCACACCTGGAATCTTAGCACTGTGGGAGGCTGAGGCAGGTGGATTCCTTGAGTTCAGGAGTTTGAGACCAGCCTGAGGAAGAGCAAGACCCCAGCTCCCCTAAAAATAGAAAAACTAGTGGGGCATTCTGACGGGTGCCTGTAGTCTCAGCTACTCAGGAGGCCGAGGCAAAAGGATTGCTTGAGCCCAGTGTTTAAGGTTGCTGTGAGTTGTGACACCATAGCATTCAATTCAGGGTGACGGAGCAAGATTCTATGTCAAAAAACAAACAAATAAATAAATACCTAACTATATAAATAACTCTTTAACTGTGAGCCCAGAATGGTCTTAGTGATTAACTAACATGTTTCAATCCAGAAAACAAAAAACTGAGAATGCTTTTGTGATAAGAACTATACTGATTTATATCCTATTGGCCCCAGCGGCAGGTACAAGCAGACGTACATAGCTCACAGTGGGCCTGTACGTACATCAGAGCGGATAATTCAACATGTAGTATATAGGCAAAGAGAACATGCCAACCTGGATACCAGCTTGGCACCACTTGCGTCCTCTGCTGAGTTCACATCTTCCGAGTAGGGTTTTCTACGACGTAGCCACAGGCTGACCTGAGGAATGCCGTCAGATAGATCTGGTTGTGGTACCCTGTGGGCCTGAATAGACCCCTCACTCCTGGACTTCAGGTTCTAGAAAATAATATTTTTTTAAAAAAAGAGAAAGCAAAAAAGATAAATTTAAAAGTTTTTTAAATTAAGTTTTTGGAAAAAAGATAATTCATTCTGATTTACTAATCATCCAATGTATTAATAACAGCCTGGAAAATATCAAGCTTGGCACAGAATTTAAAATACATATAAAAATCATTATATAGCAAAGGGCACAGGTTGGGGAGATACTAATATTGCCAAGGGGAACTTCTGAACCATATATAGCCCAGACCCTTCTCTGGGATTCTGACCCAAATCTTCCCCCGGTCTACCCCTCCTTAGAATAACCACTGGGCCTTTATCAGACTGGCAACCTGGAGGGAAGGGGGAAAAATAGTTGGAGAAGGGCAGGGGAAAACAAGCCTGAGAACCATCAAAATAAAGAATCTCAAGGTCAGAAAGTGACCAGAAATATTTACTACCAATGTAAAATACACGAGTTTGCTGCTGGCTTCCACTGTAATTCTCTTTTTAAGGCTAAATGTGGTCTACTAAATTTTTGGTGAAGGTCATAAACAGGAAAAACACAATCTTTTTAGTTCTCCTACATCTCTGGCAGCATTGGCGACACACAGGTGTCCCAAAGAATACAGGATGTACTGATTTTTCAGACTACATGTGAAGTTCTACTTCTCCCAGTCCCCTTAAAATAAAAGCTCTTTTATTTTAGATGAGAAAGAACATGAATATGATCAATCTTCTTTAATATTTTGAAGTATAAAATCATGATGTCAGAATTGCAGGAAAAAATCCAAATGCTTAGATCCCCTGTGTTTGTTACCCTGAAAGATTCTTCTTGTCTCCAGGACTTTTCCCAGGCTTGTCCTCACACCCAGAATATCTTCTGTTCATCGCTGGCCACTCACCAACTGCCTACGAGCAAACCTCCCCTAACATCCCGTGGGGCTGAGATAATTCTGTTGCCCCTGGAATTTCCCTAATCTCAGGTCTTCGTGACCTTTCCCAGCTTGGAATCCTTGCAACACACCACCCATGTAGCTTGCCCCTGATTGCACGTTGTCGGATACCTTAACCTTGGTTGTCTTGTGCGTCTATGGTTGGATGGCCTCAACTAGATCTCTAGAGAGAATTAGAGCCTCTTCCTCTTCTTCCCCTTTTTCTTCCTTCTCCCCCTCTTCTTCTTTTTATTATTATTATTTTTAACATTTTTTAAACATAAAGGCTAGGGACATTTTGGATCTATTAATAAATTTTGTCAGAATGCACTTTGAACTACAAAATTGTGTCACTATACTGTCCTCGAGGCTAGTCTAATAGACAATTGAAAGAGTAATATGGGAACGATTATTAACATACATACTGAATAAATTCATGCCTCTGTGAGGATTACATAAACAATAATACGTGAATAAATATGTACAATTATGATTTGTCAGTTAAAAATAATATCAATTAAAAATTAATGTCAAATGGTGCACACAAAATATACAAACATTATCTGGGAAAAAGTAACGTGTAGCATAGAGCAAAGTGGTCACTCAATAAATGCTAGCTTTAGGACTACCGTTGTCCTGTAAAATGTTCCCAAATCCCAGGACTGTCAATTGTTCATGGCATTTCTCTGAAGAGCATTTGGTAAGCTCATGAAAATCAAGGAGAGCAAGGAAAAATTTGAAAATTTTTGAACTTACAAAAACATTTCTAGTCCATAATATTTGCCAAGATTACTTTTTTGCTGACAAAAATTGTATATATCAGAAACAACATGTTTTGAACGATGTATACACTATGGAGTGGTGAAAGTCAACTCACTGACGCATGCATTAGCTCACATACTTTCGTTGTGTGTGTTGAGAAAACTCAAAATTTACTCTCTTAGAAATTCTCAAGAATGTCAACACTGGCTGGACACAGTGGCTCACGCCTGTAATCCTAGCACTCGGGAAGGCTGAGGCAAGCGGATTGTTCAAGCTTAGGAGTTTGAGACCAGCCCCAGCAAGAGTGAGACGCTGTCTCTTCTAACAGAAGAGAAACACTAGCCAGGCATGGTGACACATTCCTGTAGTCCCAGCTACTTGGGAGACTGAGGCAAGAGGGTCACTTGAGCCCAAGTGTTTGAAGTTGCTGTGAGCTATTACGCCATAACACTCTATCCAGGGCAACAGACTAAGACTTGGTCTCAAAAAAAAAAAAAATGCCAACAGTACTTTTTTAAAAGAATGTTAAGCTAAATAGTAAGAGAACATGACAAGTATAAATTTGCATATGCTATTACATATTTCAAAAGGGGATTCCTTTTGAATGTAGTCATTTTTCATAAGAATAGAGATTAAAAAATCAATTAAAACACTGAGAAAACAATTAAGATTTCAAACAAATTAGCTATTAGACTTAGTTCTCTCAACATTAAAGCAAACACAAGAGTAGTTGTTTGACAACATTTCATGGCATTAAAACAAGGAGACAATGTTTTAGATTCAGTGAAAAATTGCTGAATGAATTATAGAACTCCAAACTTTTATAAAGGTGAAATGTTCTAAGGAAAAAAAGAGACTGTCTCTTATTCCATCTGTCTGGTTATATTAAAACAGCCTTTCTAATGCAAATCACTCAGAACTCAGGCACCAGCAAGGGCATCCGCTACGCTGCGTCTTAGAGTATTTTTGTGATGATATAATTTCTATAGAAATAACATAGGCATGATTGTCATTAACCATGAACTTTAACATATAAACTTGTTATTTATATATCAAAGTAGTACGAAGAACTGAGCTTGTGAAAATACCACATATAGTTTATGAAAGATCAGAATTGTGGGGGAGGGGGAAGTAGTTCAGGAACTCTCAGACAACTACAACTATGAAAAATACATGCGTTATTTCAAAGGAATGAAAGTTTTCAAAGAGGACTAATGGTATCCTTGTTTTGGTTTTTCTTGTCTGAGACAGAGTCTCCCTCAGTAGCCCTGGGGTTTGAATACCCTGGCATCACAGCTCACAGCAACCTCAAACTCCTGGGCTCAAGAAATCCTCTTGCCTTAGCCTCCAGAGTAGCTAGGACTACAGGTGCCCACCACCATACCTGGCTAATTTTTCTTTCTTTCTTCTTTTTTTTTTTTTTAGAGACAGAGTCTCACTTTGTCACCCTTCTTAGAGTGCCGTACATACAGCTCACAGCAATCTCCAGCTCTTGGGTTTAGCCAATTATCTTGCCTCAGCCTCCCAAGTAGCTGGGTAGTTTTTCTATGTTTTTAGTAGAGACAGGGGTCTTGCTCTTGCTTAGGCTGGTCTCAAACTCATGAGCTCAGGCAATCTACCCGCCTTGGTCTCCCAGAATGTTAGGATTACAGGCACAAGCCCCTGTGCCTGGCAATATGTCTTCTTGAAGATGTACTTGGAGACGACATCTTCACTATAGAAATGACTATTGGAAAAAAATGAAGATAATGTGATAAAATTTTAAAACCTGCTGTCTTACTGGTGTAATTAATTTTAGTACACATAAAGTAATGGAGGAAAAAGAAAAAAACATTTTCATTACTTTAGCTGGGACTGAGCTCTTTAGAAACTCATGATTTGAGCCTAAATAAATTTATAATATTCCTGTCCTTATAATATATGTAGAGGGAATAGTTCTATGTGTATGCTTCTGGTTATACTGGTCAGAGCCCACATAGTGTAGTGTTGAATTAAAATTTAGTGTCTTAAAAACAATTTGAGACCCTAAATTGAAGGTGGCACTTACAGTCTCTTCTCAGCACTGAACTCTCTGAGAAGGAGTGTTTGACACCAGTCAGCCAAGGTTGGTGATACAGGTGGGCGTGTTATCACAGTGTGGCTTTAAAAGCAATGGCTCCCATCCAGAGCTGATTTTGTTTAGAGACATGTCACGATGGAGACAAGTGTGTGCTGCGAGAATTGGGGAGGCAGAGGCCAGGCAGGTGATGAACATTCTATAATGCACAGGGAGCTGATTTCATCTAGAGATGTGTCACGATGGAGACAAGTGTGTGCTGTGAGAATTGGGGAGGCAGCGGCCAGGCAGGTGATGAACATTCTATAATGCACAGGACAGCCTGCTTAAAAAGGGGTATCTGACTCGAAGTTATCAGTGGTCCTCAAGAAAGTCCTGCTTTAGAAGGACAAGTGAGAAGAAGCCTACTTAGGTGACACATCTCTTCCTGCTCCTCTGGTTCTATCTTCCCTTTGTGGCTCCGGCCCCTTAAGACTTAACTGGATCAAGATGAGCTATGAATTTAGCAGAAGTGGGCCAAGGAGGCCATCAGGTCTGCCTCGTGTAGAAAAGAGTCACTACCGACTCCACTGGGTTCAGGTAAGCTGTGCTGGGCAGGGACTCCACACAGGGTCAAAAGCCCTGACTGTGACAGGTGGAGTGACCGTGCATGGGGAGATGAGTCCAGCCTCCCTGATAACCTGCCTGCGGCTGCAAAACGACCAGGGGGTTGGGGTACAGACTGGGGTGATCAGCTTTCGCTTTCCACCGGAGTTATAACTGACGTCCATGACTTGGCACCGCACTTTGCTCCTTTAGTTATTTCTTCATTTCTTTAGTTGTCTTGTAACTTTTGTATTTGAAAAAACATTATAAAATCCTGTAGACCATCTATGAAAAATACTTTGCTCAGAAGAATTCTGCATGGGCTCTTTCAGATAAAGATCCGGGTACATGCTGTGCAATTTATGTGCCCAACTTAAAATACAAACAATTGCAGGAATCTTAGAAAGAGCGCATTCCAGGCATGTGTTTGCAGGTTTGCGGTCGTTCTAATTGTAGCATTTTGAGGCAGTTTAGTATTTAAGATGTCATGGGAGTCAAAACAAAAGAACGTCCTTTGAGAAAGTAAAATTAGAAAATGTTCTTTTAAATCCGTGTGCTGATGCTGTTGTGAATAAACATCTAGTGTTTACTTATTCTGGGGCAGGCATGGTTCTAAGGGATTTACCTAAACCAATCCCTTTAATTCTCTCAACCATCCAAGGAGTCAGGAGCTATTATTA